CATGACCTCTGCAGCAAGGGTTTGATCCCTGGCCAGGGAGGTGACCCAAATGGCACAGCAGACCTCTCCTGTCTTGCCTGCTGCTCCCCTCTGCAGTGTATTTCAGCAGATCCACCTGTTCTGTTCCCCATTCTGCCTCTCGTGAATCCGTTCAACACCCCGTCACTAGCCTATACCCCAGTTCTTGTGTGCCTAATAAATAAATCTTTTTTTTTCTTAAAGGGATAAACCTAGGAAATGATACTCTTGCCAGGAGGGCAGGAGGCTTGCTGGTAGTGGCAGCACTCCTGAAACGTGACCAATATGGATGTAGAAGGTTATGGCAGAAGACAGTCCAAGGGATCTTCACTGCATAGAGAGAGAGGAAACTCCCTCCCTACAAAGAAAAACAGCAGCTGTGCTATACATATGCAGCAGGGATCAAATTTATAAGTTTTTTTCTATAAAGGGTCAGGTAGCAAATCTTTCAGGATCCTCTGTTACTGTTGAAATCATGTGACTTCTTCTGCTCTGCAGTTGTGTCATGATCATGTCATTGGCCACAGGTGAATGAATGGGGACCACTGTGTTCAAATAAACCTTTACTTAAGGATACTAAAATCTGAATTTCACATGACTCTCATGGGTTACTACATATTCTCCTTTTTCATTATTACTATTTTCCATCAGCACTATTTAAGTTCTGTGAAGAAAATAAAGCAGGACAGTGAAAAAAATCCAGACTACAGGCCACACCCATGGCCAGTTTGTCAACTTTGACTCAGCAGAGCAGAAAAGAGGGGCAAAAAATCCATGTGACATGTGAGTGTTACTTAAAAAATGGCAAGCTTATTGCCGTAACTGTATTCAACAGCATCCTTCTGTTTGTCAATGCTTAACGCCAATTCAGATTTGGCTGTTTGTGCGGTATGACCCTTTCTGAGAACAGGGAGGAGGTGGGGTCCGACAGCTCTGGAGCACCTGCTCACCCAGAGCTCCTCTCCCAGCATGCTCTACACCCAGTTCCGAGTTCTCCACGCAGAGTTCACATGCCATTTTACTCCCATGCGCTAAGTCCTTTTTCAACTTCTTAAACATTCGAGTGACTTGCTACTTGCATTTCAGTGAGATGCAAACATCTTGTCTTGTCTTGGCCTGACCTGGCCTCTGACTACTTACATGACTCTCTAACCTTAGTGCTCCCCAGGCCTTGCTAGTAGCTTCACCCTGCAGGTCTTAGCTGGCTAACAATTCAGAACTCAGCTCAAATCTCATGGTAGCACAGATGCTATCCTTCATCGTCAGCCTAACTCAGTTCTCAGGTAAACTTTTTTTTTTTTAAGATTTATTTATTTATTCATACAGAACTGGGGTACAGGCCAGAGATGCGGAGGGTGAGAGGAGTCACCAGGGACAGAGTGGGGAGCAGAACAGACAGACTGACGAAGTACACTGCTGAGGGGAGCAGCGGGCGGGTCAGGAGAGGTCTGCCATGCCATGTGGTGACCTCCAGGGCAGGCTGGAATTGAACTCATGTGGAAGTGCTTTAACCCACTGCACCACCAGGAAGGGCCCAGGTAATCAATTTCTAACATATAGCTCTGCTTCTGCTTTATTTTCTTTATAGAACTAGTCTTTATTTGGATTATTTTATCCATTCATTTGCTTATTCATTAAATTTGGCCTGAATTCTTTAGTGAAAATATAAGTTCTATTAAAACGGTAATTTCTGGGCCCTCCCTGGTGGTGCAATGGGTTAAAGTGCAGCACTACAAAGCTAACCAGCCACTTCAGCATAAATAAGTTCAATCCCTGGCCACGGAAGTGACCCACAGGGCGCAGCACACTTCCCCTCTCTCACCCACTGCTCTCCTCAGCACTGTACTTTGTGAATCTGTCTGTTCTGCTCCCCACTCTGTCTCTGGTGAATCCTCTCACCGCTCTGCACTTTGGCCTGTCCCCCAGTCCTGTATGCACAAATTAAAAAATCTTAAAAAAATACAAGCAAAGAAAAAATCAAGGTAATTTCTGTCTAAAGCCTGCTGTTTCCCCATTCTGAGGTCTGCCATTGATATAGGCATGATGTAATGTTGAATGAATTGAAATAGGCTAAAATCTGAGGGTGATAAATGGCATGTTCAGGATTGTGCTAAAGTGTTACCCCAGTTGAGAATGAGGGTGACTATATATGGGGGTGGGGCAAACTGCTGAGCCTTGAGTCTTGAGAAGTCTGATCCTTGGTCCAAGATCAGATCTTGGAGAGGCACTGAGACAAAGCTAAGGGAATGCCCTCCATTGTGAGGGCCACAGTGGGAGGTGGGCACAAAAGGACGTGGGGTCAGCACAGGGTAAAAGAGCTCAGAGGAGTTAGTGGAACATTTATGCCTGGACAATTGCCAAGTATGTTTATGCCATTAGGATGGTAACAATTATAGAACCATCACATGGGGGAATGCCAAAAAAACAAACTCAAATTCAACAAATGTTTCAGCTATAATACCTCCATTCTCCTCTTGAGAAAATGGAGTAAATTTTAATATTTTCTGAACATATGTCTTAATCTTTATAGTTTTCTTTTATATATTTCTTACATCGTTCTTCCATTTTGCACAATGTCTGCTTTTCCATCTCAGTTGCAGTACCTGTGGACTTCCCACCACCAACTCACTCATGTGCCATCACCATGGTCCCCTGTGCTCTTCCCACTCCTGTTTTAATGCTTCTCTTGTCCTATCCCCTGCAGATTGTCTCTGGCTTATAGTTGTCTATTGATTTTTGATTTTTACTTTTATTTCCTTAACCCCTTACATTCCTCCTACAAGTGAAACTACCCAGTATTTTTCTTTTTCTTTTTGGATTATTTCACTGAGCATGATCCCCTCCAGCTCCATTCATGTTGCTGCAAAGGATGTAAGTTTATATCTTTTTGATGGCCAAGTAGTATTCCATTATGTATATGTACCACATCTTCTTGATCCAGTCATCTATTTTGGGGTATCTGACTACTTTCATAACTTATCTAAGTAGTGCTGTAATAAACATAACGGTGCAGGTGAGCTTTTAAATTAATGTTTTTATGTCATTTGGATAGATGCCTAGGAGTGGAATTGCTGGATCATATGGAAGCTCCATTTTAAGCAAAACCTTCAAACTGCTTTCCACAGTGGTTGGACCAGTTTTCATTTCCACCAGCAGTTTAGGAGAGTTCCTTTTTCTCTACTTCCTCACCAACATTTGTTGCTACTCTTTTTTTTAATATGTGCCATTCTCAGTGGTGTGAGATGGTATCTCATTGTGCTTTAATGAAGCTAAACCACCATGCACAAAATCCAACTCAAAATTGATTAAAGAACTAGACATAAGACCTGAAACCATAAAATATATCGAAGAAAATACAGGCAAAACACTACATACACCTCATACATAGACCTCAGTAACATCTTTAAAGAATCATCACCTAAAGCAAAGGCAGTGAAGGAAAGGATAAACAGCTGGGACAACAGCAAATGAAAGTGCTTCTGTATAGCAAAAAAGCCATTAACAAAACAAAAAGACATTCCACTGATTGGAAGAAAAAATTGGGGGCACAATACTATTGATAAAAGACCAATCACAAAATGATACAATGAGCTGATGAAACTCAGTAAAAACAAAGTGAACAACACTGTCAAAGAATGGGCAGAGGAGCTAAAAAGACACTTCGCCAAACAGGAAATGCAAATGGCCAAGAGGCATATGAAAAAATGTTCAAAATCAGTCGTAATAGGGGAAATGCAAATTTTAACATATCTAGAAGAAAAGGTGCTCAAAGTTTCAAGGGTTTTATTTATGTGTACATGTGCACATACATACGTGTGTGTTTGTGTGTGCGTGCTGTTTAACAGAAAGTGACTGTAAAGGTTTAACTTTGCTATGAAAGAAAAGGAGGGCGTGGAATTAAAAAAAAAAGTGTGGCTCCATTTGTGCTGCAGTTCAAGCTCCAACCGCAGAAGTGAGATTTCTACATGAGATAAGTTTCTTATAAACTGTGTCAAATGATAAAATGGGAGACATTTAAACATCTGAAAAACTATTTGGAAGAAATTTTGTCCCATCTCCAACCTCTCTTTTCCTGTCCATCATATTTAGAACAGAAAAGTACTAACTTCTAAGAAGGAAGACGAAAAAATTAACCCTTTGTAAGTCAAATGTCAGAATTTCCCCAAAGGTGAGAGGAAATGGATTTGAGGCTGGTAGAGGGTATGGCTCCACATCTATTTCACAGGGTTTCCTCGAAGCTTCCACTCATCTGACAAGATGTTGGTCTGCGATGTATAAAAATACCTTTCTCTTGAGAAAACACAAGAAAGGTCGCCATCTTGCTCACTGAGATTTCTCAGTGAGATAGATATCTACTAAGTTTTAAGTGTTGAATAGGACCATAAATCAAATATTTGGGTCACAGGAATGTGTATCAGCCACAACTTCACACCATGCTTGTCTTCCAAATGAATTTCCTTTGCAGTCATTCTTGCTGGCCCTTTTGTGCATGCTATATCCACCAGGCAGCCACCTCATCACAAGCCCTTCATGAAGACATGCTCGCTTGACTTTCTTGCCCACAAGCACTCCCATTTCCTTCTTTAAGCACAACCAAGATGAATACTTTGCCATTAAATAAATCACTATTAATTAAGATAACATTTAAGTATTGCATGCAAATATCAAGAATTTCTTGCCTCTTCCACTGGCTGGTTTCATTTGCTAGGAATCTCAATTAAAAACCCCTTAAGGCAGGGGTGAGAGATCCCAGACTTTGGTAGGGACACCAAGCACACCAGGGATCCGGAAGCATCCTGTCCTTCTCCAGACAACCTTTCAGCTTTGGGACATCCTGCATGCAATAGAAATATTGCCACTGAGGACTCACTGCAGTGATTATGCTGCTGGGGTTCCCAGAAGAGGAGCTACAGGGAACCTGCAATGGAAGACAATCACCCCACATGGAAGGACCACCCAGTGGCTTAAAAAAGATCACTTACTGAAAAGTCATCACTGGGGAAGAACAGCAGGTCTCGAAGGGGGCCGTTACCATAGGTCTTCTCAAGTTCCTCAATGACTGTTTCATAATCCAGAGGCTCAAGCAGCCTGGGTTTGTCTTGCTGTAGAAAGGAAAATAAGATGTTAGCTTCCAACAGAAATAATCTCGAGTCCTCTGAACAACCAGATAGGCTTCATTTGTTAGTGTCTCCAAGCTTTGAATGTGCTCAGTTTGCCATGGAGTAAAGAGACTCCAGTCATTCATGATCTCGCGCTGACCATTATTTGCAGATGCTAAAAAACATGAGTCCATCCTGAACTACTGGACTTCCTATTCAGTTATTCCAGCTGTTTGTACTGAGTCCTGGAAGCTCATGGTCTTCAGTCATACCATGTCCCTCAAGGGGCTTGATCTTTGACCATGTGAAGACAAGCTCACTAGATGCTACAGCTCATGGGGCTTGGTCTTCGGCCACTGAAGACAGACCCACTATTTGCTATAGCATTACGATGGTGACCATCACTATGGATGAACCAGATGGGCCTCATGGGCCTCTGGGTCTATTTTAAGCACAGACAACCTGCTGGCATGGCAGCATCACTGGCTGTTTTGCTGTCACTGGAACAAAGATTTTGTGTCAGTGAATCTGACTCAATGCTTGGCTCTGAGCCTTCTGCTGCTGTGGAGAGGCACTGGGAAGCCCAAAAGACTGGATCAGCACCACTGTTATGGATGTAGTGGTGAGAATGGAGAAGAGTCTGAAGAAACCGCCAGCTAATCACATGTGTTAAATCCTGACACCAAGAGAAAGACTTGAGTCCCTCTCAAAAACTGCCCAAACCGAGGATCAGTGCTGGGGAGAGGGGTGGCTTCAGGGTTGACATAGTGTGTGTTTTCTAAAGAGCTCAGAACTCACAAAATGGAAAGGATAGAGGCCAAATAAAGAAGAACGATTTGAGCAAAGAGGGGTCTCCCTGGTGGCACAAAAGTTTAAGTCGCAGCACTATGAAGTGATCCACAGCCTGCAGCACAAGTTCAATCCCCGCCCAGGGAGGTGACCCACATGGTGCAGCAGACCTCTCCTGACCCACCCACTGCTCCCCTCAGCAGTGTATTTCAGTCTGTTCTGCCTGTTCTGCTCCCCACTCTGTCTCTGGGGAATCCTCACCCCCTACACATGCCTGGTCTGTATCTCAGTTATTGTATGTATAAAAAATTAACCTTAACAGATAAACAAAAACAGATTTGAGAAAAGAGAAAACCGAGGACCCATTCTGAGTTCTGGCACATGTAGGGAACATCTACACAGTCTGGGAACATGGATGTTCTTTTGGAACATTTGGGTTCATGAAGTTGGCTGTGATCTCCATGAAGTCAGGGTGCCCTGAAGAAATCTTGAACATGGAAAAGAATCCTCTTTCTTTGTTACACCATTGACATCAACAGTTTCCCACCAACCTGATTCCCTACTCATGCAACTTTAACTTTGATTTCTGAGATCTTCCTTGGAAGATTTCTGCAGGTCAAGCTTGATAAACCTTTGAGTAAACATTTGGATAATTGCTAATGGGCTCCTCAATGTAGCAGTCAATGTTTACTTTGATGACTTAGCACATGTAAGAAATAAAACAAGCAAAATGTAATCCATGAGCCTGTGATAAGGATGTCCATTCTCTTTCTGTATTAACAAAAGGATACACATTTTACAAATACTTAAGGGAATTGAGGATGATATAAAGTGAATATTGTCTCTGGAAGGACCGCCAAGTAAGTTGGCTAGACTGAGCCAATAAAAATACAAGGCTCTGTGCTCTATTTGGAGAGAAGAAATTTACTTGCCTAACATAATCAATTAGGCTGTGAAATACTCACTCTTTTGAAGCAGAGATACAAAGACTCTCTGGCATGATTTGGATAATTAAAAAATAAATTCCTTTGATATGATTATTCTATTTAGGCTTATTTTAAGTTCAACTTCCCATTTTTTGTAGGCAAAGTTTAATTCCAAGGATCAGAATTGATCATTCACAGAGCAGATGCAGACTCCAGATGTTTGATTTGGCTCAAACATTGGTTTTCATTCAGTTACCTCTGAATGTCTTTAAGCGGTGCTACTTCACTCCAGTTTAGCTCAGACTTCAGTAGTCCTTATTTACATGTCTCACACAGAGTTCTAACACAAACTACCTCACTGGCCTTCAAGCCTGAAGCACTTGGCTTATTTAGGGATCCTCTTCTCATCCAATATTGTGTTTGAGGATGAAATGTTGCAAACAAAACACAACTCTGTGCCCAGTGCAGCTCTGTTCACCAAAAGCAGGCTATGGAAGTAACCGAAGAGCCCAATAGTGGATGAAAGAATAAAGAATCTGTGGGTATATATTCCCAATGGAATACTACTCAGCTAGATGTGAAAATCTGAAATCTTGCCATTTGTAACACCATGGATGGACCTCGAAGGGATTATTCTACGTGGAGGTCAACCGTATGGTGAAAGGTAAAACTAGGCTTTCGGCGGGGATCATAATATATATACACAGATGTTGAATTTTAATACTGTACCCCTGAACCTACATAATGTTGTAAATCAATGCTACTTCAATTAAAAAAAAAAACACAACAAAAAACTGAGCCTCCCTGGTGGCACAGGGGTCAAAGCACAGCACTATGACGCTATCCACAGCCACTGCAGCATGAGTTTGATCCCCAGCCAGGGACTGACCCACAGGGCGCAGCAGACCTCTCCTGCTCCTGCTGCTCCCCTCAGCAGTGTATTTCAGTATAGTGTCCTGTTCTGCTCCCTACTCTGTCTCTGGTGAGTTCTCCCCCCATCCCCCACACCTCTGCCCTACACCCCAGCTCTTGTATGCATAATAAGCAAAAATAAATCTTTAAATAAAAACTCTAAAATATATAATGTAAAACCTATGGCAGCTCTTATCATTGCCATAGATTTGTAGGTTAAGTCCCTTTCCCTCACTATTGCTACGGCTTAAGCACACGATGTTGTCATATACCTAAGTCCACGATGTGTTCTAACACTCATTCCTGAGTTCCTCCCCTCTCACTTCCTGTGAGAGTGGCTTCCTGTGTATTGCAAGGAGAAGGATTAAAGGCAAATGACACAAAGGTGCTTTATAGCAGGCTACGTATAAACCTGTTCTGTTTTAAATTTTATCTCCCATTAGTGGAGCTTTAATAAATTGAGCATTAACGGACAAATATCAAAGAAGATATTTTACTAGAGCCACACAGTACCCCAGATCGATCCCATTTAAATTGGGAAAATACAATAGTACAAGGAAAATTGGTGCTTGCTGGTGATAGGTTATTAATGACCTGTTGAAAAGCCAAATCCTAAACTCTTCTTGATAAGCCCAATATGCTTTTAGCAAGCACCTGTTGAAAGGTATATTTTATTTATTCATTTCAGCCTATGACATAACAATTTATCAATGAATAGCATTTATTAAGCTTCCTGTATTTAAAATGTTGCTCGGAGGCCCTTTTGACATGGGGCTGCAAAACCTAGCAGCTCTGCTTTCTACATGATTAAGTTGGGGCTGGTAGGACGATATATATTAGTAAGGTTCTAGCCTTCCAGCCAACCTGTTTGTCAATGTGTAACAATCAAGTTATTCAATGTTTCATAGTTTTGAGTTTTTAAAATGATCAGAATGTTCTCTTCCGTTTTGCCTAGAGCCTGGGAGGTGGGGAAGCTACACCCACCGAATGCATCTGCACTGGAGACACCCAGGCTATGGAAGCCACAGCTCCCTCTGGAGCAAGGGAGCCCTGGCCCCATATTTTGGTCTAAGAGACCACGGATGGTGCGTCCATTAGTTTCTCACTAGGAATCCTTGCAGAGATACGGAGTGAGGCTGGAAACTGAGCAGCGCTGAGCTGCAGTTTCAGAAAGCTTATGTTGTCCCTCATGAATTTCATGTGCTTCTTCTTCTGGAAAGGCACCAACTGAGATGAAGCATATGCCAAGACAACCCTGAAAGGGACTGGATTTTTGCAGTGCATGTTACAGTCACTCTCTCGCAAATGAATAATGAATTTCATCAGCTGTTCTGAAACCACCTTGGGCATGGGAAAGGCACCCACTCGTCCCTGCCATCATGTGGCAGTCTTGGTGAGAAGCCCTGTCTCGTGGGCTAGAAAGAGGCTTGTTTGGTTCACTTCCCCAAATTCACAACTCTGTCTACTCACAGTGGAAGAATAAGGCAAGGGCAGGGGCAAGAGTAAGAATATGAATAAGAATAAGAATATGAATAAGAGTAAGAATACAAAAAGAATCTGAGTAAGAGTGGGTTCTGTCACAAAAGCCAATACTCTTCCCCTCTACTTAGTCTACAACGTTTCACAGGAAGTCAAGACAACCTGTAGTGGGTGAACCTTCCACCTTGGTAATAAGCAAGATTTCCAAGAGGCATTTAATTGGTTTGAAACAAACAGACCACCTTTTTTTTTTAGCTAAAAATTCTAATTTCAAGAACACAGTATTCCATCACAAAGATCTGAGCTGTTTTCATAATGTTAATTCAAAAACCACAAGGGTGAAGAAAGGACTCTGCAAACGTAAGCGTTTAGAGCATGTGACACTGAAAGTTTATAAGATTGAATCATCCACCTAGATCTCAATGACAGACACTCAGCCTGGATTTAGGGTTGTCCAAATGAAAAAGGAGAGTGTAATGCCAGTGTCCTATGTTGAGATATAGCACAGAGTGGGACAGAATTAGATCCTTCACCTGGGATTTATTCAAGAAAGTCATTGTAATATTTTCTTTGAAACACGATGGAGAAAGCATATCCTTCTTAATCCAGGAAGGATAGGGAAGGCAGGCAGGTGGGTGGGGGCGATGCCCAGAGTTGCTGCTAAAAAGCACAAGTGGACTCTGTTTTTCTGGAAATCAGTACAGTGGAGAGAGGCTCATGCCAAGTGTATGTGGGAAGTACAGCGAGGCTGGAATAGGGGGTTGGGATAAATCAATGTGTAATTGTGTGGTTGTGTGTTACGGGGGAAGGATGTCCTCCTAAAGGAACTCTACAGAGTATTGTGGATTCCACCCCTTACTCCAGCTTTCTGGACCCTACACCCTACTCCAGTGATTA